TTTTAGGCTAGAAAGATAAAATTTAAACAAAAGATGACGTTCTATAGGTAGTCCACCCGGGCCTTAACTTTAATAAACAATTTTATTCAAAAATATCGGAAACTAGATAGTTTCCAAATGTTTCTAAGTGATTTCGTAATGATTAGAAAAGTAAAAATTTCTGCAAAAAGACGTTTTGTCGATTTTCTTTCAAAATAACTGATGAACAAACTATGATGCTGGGAAAGAAAAATATCAACAATTCATGAAATTCTCTGGTTGCACTCATCTTCAAGGGAAAAAAATGGCATAATTAACTGTAAGTGGAAAAGAATATTGTCATTAGGGGAAAATAAAATAGTAGAGCCGGCTTGGCCCCATAAAAGTGTAAAGTAACGGATCATACCGAAAGTGAATGTGGAGTGTAGACGTAGCGGTAGCAGAGCTGCAGACATGAGACATGGTTCACCCCGTTTACCCCACCATGGTTATCATGGTGATTTTGGTGATCATGGTGATCATGGTACTTTCCGACGTTTGACGGCGCTGTCTGCATGGTTTACACCGTCTGCACGTATATACCTGTTTTTTTTTTAAATTTTCCGTGGTGGGGGTCAGGCCGAGGATTGCCGAGAGAAAAGGAGTGGAAAGGAGTTACTGGTCACCAGTAACTGCCAACTGGTGTCAGTTTACCACCTACCAGTCGTCCACCACACGTTGTAGTAATTTTATATTGTTTGTGTCAACCTCCAAGATGATGATTTAATCCTCGAAGAATTTATTTGTACCAGTGCTATAGGAAGAGGTCACTCATCATCATGTGAATAATAATTTTGGATCTTTACAAGACTTGGCGAAATCTCTAGAACTCTGGGGATTTCAATGCTTGAAATAGGAATGAATCTGTCTCAATGATTCCTTCAATATTCCTAACTGTTGGAAGTTGAAAAAAATCATCGTTATCACCGAAATTTCATAATTATTACGATTATCCTTAAATAAATGTAAGGAAATTTGTGATGTTAAACGTTCTACAAATTGAGACGTTCGGGTCTTTGGCATTCAGCGCAGAGCAAGCTTTCACTTGATCCAGTCAACAGTGACTATAAAGAACAGTGTCAAAAAAGTGAACAAAGTACAGCACAAAAAAATGAGCACGAATAAGTCACCTGTTAGAATATTATTGAACCGTATAATAAATAATTAAACAACTTTTACTCAATTGAGTAGTTATACAGTGGGGGAGAACAATTTGAAAAACCGTTTCAAATAGACAAATGTAGTGCAATGTTCGTAGGATGGATTGTTGTTGAGACGATGGTTTGTCTTGTTCTAGGCATCCGTAAGTAGATTATATATATTTTTTTACATTTATTCTTTTGTGTTCTTCACGTCATCTTATACGAATGAAGCACTGTCGTTGCGATTTGTTCTCCTTTCAATTTGAGCTATTAAAGAAAATATATAATGGTAGAAATTGATATTTTTATCGTAGATTTCCTGCACTTTCCGAATAGTTCAAGCAACATTAATTTTCTGGAATTATAACATTAAAAGTCACGAATGGAGATATTAAATCGGAAATGGTAGTGGTTTTTCCCGGTGTTTGTATTGCTTTTTGGATTGAAATCTTTTCTATAGAATATGTTCGACCCGAATTGTCTAAGTCGTTTAATTTAATTAGTTTGGTGTGAAGAGAACGATATGAATAAATAGAGTCAACCAAATACTATAGAAAATTTTTTTTATTGAACATTTCGATAGAATTTGCCAAAAAATAATAGCAAATTCAATGGAAATCTAATCGGAATTTCAAACAAATTCGATAAATTTATCCATTAGATTTTTTCCGCTGCAAAATAAATCCTTCATATGAAAATTAGTTTTGTGTATCCCTTGACATTGACCTTGGAATAAATCTTACTGATGAGCATGCGCAAAATCTTCGGGAATCGATAGAAATTAAGGTTTACTTGCAAAGAAAAAATAAAAAAAAACTTTTTTGGTTACATATTTAATTTGTGTTCCGCTAGAAAGGCTTTAGGAAATGCAATTAGCTTTTTCGCTGATGTTCATGAAAATTTAAAACATAATCCATTGATGGTAATTAACATTTTACCGAAGAAATTCGGTAAATGACCAGTAGAAAATGTGCCACCGAGATGTCATTTTCTAGAATTTACGAGAACGAACGCGCGCTACAGCGCGCTGTAATTATAAAAATCGCGATTAAAAATTGTTAATCTAAATGAGTTCCAAATTCAAATTAGCCGTCTCAGATGACTGAACCAATGAGGAATAAGCGTGATAGAGTTTCGAGATATTGATAGTCTCGATGTTTATCCTTTTTAGGATAGGAATAAAAATTGTTAATTTAAATGAGTTCCAAATTCAAATTAGCCGCCTCAGATGACTGAACCAATGAGGAATAAGCGTGACCGAGTTTTTTTGTCCTTTTTATAATAGGATCTACTTCAATAAGTCACCTCATCTTTTATAACGGGTGCTTGTGTAGATGAACGAGACTATTCATCTCGTTCAAGCATATAGAGGTATAAATTTATTAAAAGTTTATGAATTAAAGTCGTTTTTAATAAATTCGAGAACACCAGATATGCTTTTCAAATCAAAATCGTCTCAGAGTTCGGCGTTACTCAGAGTTTGCGATGGGGACGAAGCTGGTATGAACCCCAGATCATGTATGGTCTGGTCTCCACTTTCTGTTAATTGGGACTGACTTTATTTTCGTCTCCCCGATCGAAGTCCCTTAGTTATGGTATCAGTTCGTAGTTAGTCACTAAATTTTGTCAAAGTTTGGTATTGTGCACATTTACCATAATGGTTACTCTAAGAGTCATCGATTCGGCCAACGTGACTGTATTTTTTTTGAGGATGTTCCTCTTTTGGCCAAAATTACCAATTTTTTGAGGTTTCTGATAAGCTGTTGATCGGATTGACCTGAAAAAATATACCGTTTTTACATTTTATCCTTATTTCCTGACGGACGAAGTTTCATGAGCGCACAAAAACTTGACTGTATTTTTTTTTTAAAGTTCTAGGAATTTTTGAAACGTTTATCATTTTGGGCATTATTAAGTAATGATAAGATGCGACGATAGTAATTTATATTATATGCCGTGAAAAGTATTTTTCGAACGAATTTAATCAATTACAATGTACATTGCATTGTAATTGAATTTGTCAGTACTGTCAATACTTTTGTCAATACTTTTCAAGTCATATGACATACATTGTTTTTTTGTCAGGAGGTCCGACTAACCGAGTTCTGAGTAGGCCCAGACCTGGTAAGTGTTATTGACAAGAACCCGGTTAGATTGGGCCACAGAAATTAACGTTTCATGCCCGAACTTTGGAAATTCGATCATCCTCTATCATTCCTCTGCCACGAAATTTGCGTTCGGTGCGCGTTATGATTCAATTCGTCAGAAATTTATGATTTTTGTGATGTTTTTTTTACTCGTATACTAACCAATCCTTGTTGTTGTAGACGAACACCAGCTTCGAGCAACTCTTAACAGCTCGGACAAAATTGTTCGCTCGATTTAAAAATTGTTGTCTTTGGAAAGTATGTGGTATCAATTCCCAGATAAGAAATAGTGAGAAACCGTATGGAAAAAACTTTCGATTACGGTAGGATAGATTTGCCTCAAACTTTTGGTTTGCAAGAAGGAAATTTTGTATCGGGCAAGCTAGATGCATGCCAAGAGATTGTCAAATTTGATGAATTGGCCCGGAGTAATCCCCAGGAAATGGAATTTTGATTTATTCAAATAGTTTTCAGCGAAATGAAATTAATTGTTGTTGCTTCAGGGAACAACATTTCCTACATCTCTCAATTATAATTTTCGCTACGAAACTTGTACAACCCCAGGGCCTCACCATAATGAGGTTAACTATATTTTAATTTCATTGAAATGATTTTAAACAATGAAATGTTATGGTCAATATCAAATCAGATTTTATGGGATATGACTTAGCTTTAGGCTGTTCCACGTGAAAGAGTGAGCTAAATCCAGAATTTGAGAAATTCCGTTCTACAATGATCCTTTATATAATAATACTTTTTTGTCAATTATCATGGATATTATGATGGGTGCTTGGGCAAAGTGGCTGAAAAAAAAATAATTTAATCATGATTCTTTATGATGATGCATCATAATTTTTTATTTAATCAAATGATTTCCAGTGACACTTCAGTTTTCATAAACGAATTAATCAATCGTACACATTTTCAACTAATCATATTTACTCTATTAAAGGATTACTCATCAAATTTGAGAATATGAAAAAAATGATGCTTTTTCAGATGGATTCAAATAGTGAGAGGTCAATCGTAGAGCTCAGATAATATGTTAATTTCATTTTACTGATATTTTAGCACTTTATTTTAGTGCTGATAATTAATGCAAAAACTACTGGATCAAATATGTTGATATATGGTAGTTAAATGCAATAGTCTTCATAGATTTTCTAGCAATAATTTGCAATGTTTATTCTTCATAGTATTTTAATCTATTTTTCATGTTAAAAACTACACGAAATTAAAAACACGTAGTTTTATAATCATCAATTTGTTTTAACATATCCGTTATAAAGATTCCATCGATCGATTTTTATTCCGGTGCAATAGTGACATTTATTCGAAACAAGGTGAACTTGATACAGCAATAGAGACAGCAATAGCAAGGAAACATTCTGGTGAGTTGATGCACACTAGATAATCGGGTCAGCAGACACTCCACAAGAACTTAACAATATAAATCTACGCCCATCTCCAGTGTGAGCGAGTTGTTCCCATAAAATGAACCTAGTGTCTGGACGAAAAAAACAATCAGGTTTCGAAAGATTGAGGAGCTCAGTTGTTATGCCCTGTGGAAAAGGAAAGTTCTTTAATTTTCCGAGAATTATTGGTGATGGAAGTTAATTATTGGCCGAAGCTGTTGGTCTGGGGAAACTGGAGGTCAAGCGAATTAATACAGACAGAAAGTGAAGAGATGAGTGGGACAGAGACGCGTGGGGAATACCGAAAATTATATTTGGGTTGAAAGTAAAGTGAAAGTTTTTCAGTGCTTGGACCTGAGTTCTGTGGACGTCATTGGGAAAATATGTGTTTCGCTTTGAAATAGTGTTCTCGATCCGATGTTGATATTTAGTAATATTGATATTTTCTAATTCCATCTCTAATATTTTCGAACCATCTTTCATTACCGACTCATTGAGTGCCTATCTCTTTTTGTTATTGAGTACTTTCTTGCCGAAAAATTATGAAATAGTAATTGGTCCATAAAATATTTGTACAACGAATTGAATATCTAAAAACAAGTAGGCGACAACAATTATGTCATTGTGGAGGATTTAGCGAAATGTATAGGTATATTTTTTTGCCATCAATAAATTGATGGCGGGCTTCCGAATGATTTTAACAATATATTTTTCCTCGTCAGGTTGGATCTATTATGAATGTTAAATGGTCGTAGCGATTAAGCATCTATTAGACTAAAATTTTCAAATTTAAAAAACGAATTCGATCCTGATATTCTGAGCTATATAATCATTTTATACTAAAATTTGAATATCTATAAAACCAATTGTTCAATTAAGCTCATTTTTCATACTATCCATTGTAGGGATAAACGGATGATTTCGTCGAAATTTGTAGTACTAATAGCTTGATTTTTGTGCGGATGAAAGAGCGAACAACTTTTTTTTTTCAATAACATAAAAGTGTCATTTAACTATGATTACTTACAGGATGCATTTTCCAGTTTTTGATTAATTTCAATAGTGCCAAGCATGACGAAAAGAATGGAATTAAAAAAAATGCGTACAACAATTTGAACTGAAAAA